CATGAGTAGATGAAATTCGAATTGGAAGTGGTCGTGACCACAAAGCGTGACTAATTTGTACATTCACCCTTTTCACAAAAACATGTCTGTGATACAGAAACTAATTCAAAGTATATTGAACCACAGAAGTATAAAAACCTATAAAGAGCTATAAAACTGATTTTTGATGATACGGATTAGAAAAACATTTGGTTACGTTTTAGAGATTTTAAAGTTTTTGAAAGCAATTGCATTCCGATAAACGAAACATGAGAATTTGGGCTGTGTATCCAATTTGCATAATATTTCAATCGGGTCAAATTACGACTCAAAATTAATTCCACAACACTTGCAGATATTAAACTACGAGGAACGACATAAGAACTCAGATTTTTGTAGTTTTTCAGACGAACATAATGCGGACTAAATGGGGCTTCACGATCTTTCACGACACACGGCAAAATGCATAGATTAACATGTAACTTGAATAATCGACATGACATTTGAGACGACACATTGTGCGTGATAGAATTATTTCTCAGAAATGGAATAAAAACAAAACTGATAACAAAACATTTTTGCGTAGTATTGTGTGGCAGTATAACAAAATAAGTCACAAATTTCTAGTTAAAATATTTTTCATTTAGCAGAAATGCCCGGCCGGTCAGAGTGTCCGACTAGACTAAGCTTTTACCCGTCAAAACCCCAAATTTACCGGACAATTGTCCGATGACCGACTGTTACTTGCAGGCTTGCACACTGTGAGTGTCCCTCTGACTCCATGTACTATTTATACAAAAAAGAATGATTTGAAATGACTTTTTGATTTACATGAAATCAAAAATGCTCAGAATTTCTTTAATCTTGCATAATTATTCCACTTGTCGTGCTCCATAGTTTAAGACATTGGTGATTAAGGTCTTTTATATCACTGCTCTGGTTCGTGCAAAATTCATCTTTTATCGATTTTCATTCATTTTGTTTATTGTTTACATGTAAACATCAAATGCCTTAAGAAAAGTACATTTTACAAAACTTCAATATCTATTTCCAACAACTGGTGTAATTTTTATAGCCATCTGATGAAAGGAAAACGCTTGGTATGGTCCAAAAAACTGTATCGAGACACCTTAATTACAAATAATTTTGGTTTCTGGGCATTCTACTCTGATGGCCGCACCGTCGATTTTATGAACTTATCTACAGGTGCGTGAGGCCGGTTCCTATATTTTAAGAGGTTATGCCAAACTGAAGCCACCTGCTGTTAGGACAACAACATTTGGTCCTCACTCTTTCCGCTATCTCGCCTCTAATGCATCGAACAAATTACCGGACACTACTCAGAGGGCTGATACCCTTTCTATGTTTAAACACAAACTCAAACAATTTAAGAACAAGAGATGATCACGGTAAATTAGTTTTTATATAAATTCATTTAAAATACTTAGTTTTTCTAGTTAATTATTAGGTGTTTTCGGAGATACTAGCACAACAGTGCTATTTTAAAAAATCCCAATAGAAATAAAGTTTATGATGATGATGATGGTTTCTGTGCTCACCTACCCAAAGTAGAATTTCACTGTGCTGCTGATGTTCTTCATTAGTTATCATGTCTGGTAGTATTGTAGTTCTTTTGTTCCAGCTACAGGTTGGACGACTGTTAGCAAGAAGGGTACCACTCAAGCTACAGTGAGGAAACAAATGAGCGGAGGTGACTGTGATTGATTGCTACACATACAAAATTCTTATGAATGCTATATTTGCCATATCATGCAAAACTGAACTCAACAAGAGTTAGATCGATACAATGCACCTGAGTCCTGGTAACAGGGGAAGACACTTAGATCATTAAAGTTCCAAAACATTTCCACTGTTCTATTGATCCTATATTTCAAAAGTTAGTGCATCCAGTAATGGTGATGACAGTTTGTTCATGTGTTGTACTGACTCTAGTAGTTTCTCACGAAACAGGTACCAAGACACCACCAGCCAAGGCAGCAAGACCAGAGAAAAAAGGTGAAGGTGACTGGTATTTGTATGACTTCTTTATGCTGTACAGTTTTAAAGTTAAACCCACTGTCCCTTCTGTGGGCCAAATTCGAAGAGTACTGGCAGATAGAGACCAAGGCCATTCAGTATAAGAGAATGAGAGCGTTAAAAGATTAGACTCTATCACAAAGCAGCTGTATGGGAATGCAATTGTTTCTTTTTTCGATGATACATGCGATGGTTTTCATTTAGATTAAATAATGATTCGTATGTGAATTGTTGAAGATGACTCATAACGGGTTTGCAAGGTACCGTAAAATCCTAGAAAACTACTGGAATTATAGAATTTTCTTTCAACTAAACAATATGTCAATCTATATTCAATCAGCGCTAACATAGGCTTGTATCGCGTTGCACTTGAATGTTCAGCTGAATAAAGCACTCTCGAGCTGTGACTACTGTTATAGTCGTCCTGCACCATTTATATATTGGGCATGGGGAGACAGGGATTACCGTTTATTTTGAAAGTCATTCTACCTTATATAATTATGCATGATGACAAGGCTAGCATGCAGCCTAGTACCGAGGCTACCTAGACTACTATACATAACATGGATACCACTAACTAATCTCTCTTCCCTGACAACCACATCATTGTCACCACTCAGTTCGTCACGTATTCCAAAGTACGGTAATACGAGATGAGAAAGTTCCTCATTTGTCTTGGGCCAGCCTGCCTTGATAACCTTGATTAGTTCTTGAAGGCTGTCGTCCTTTGCTGTATGCTGTTTGATTTCCTGGAGAGTAGATGGTTTTAGGCACGCATCCTGCATCATGTTGATGCTCTCGACGTCTGAAGCAATTGACTACCGTCGTAGGGAAGATATGCCTGGCTCAGTGTGTCACCAAGGTACATGGTGGACCCCTTCCTATGGCCAAGGTTGATCAAGTAAGCTTGAACTCCTAGGAGCATGCGCTGGAGCCTCATTAGTGCTAGGTGGAGTGGTTTCGGAACGATCACTTCCAATGGTTTCTGATCCGATTCCACAGTTACTTGAAGGTGTGGAATTTCTCCAGTCCATAACCAACTGCAAGGAGCTCTTTCTCGATCCGCGCATAGTGAGTTTTGGGATCCGTCAGCACGTGGCTTGCATGCGCAATGGGGTTGCCGTCTTGTAGTAGGACTGCTCCAAGCCCCTTGTCTGACGTGTCGCACTGCAGGGTGACGCCCTTTGTCGTATCAAAATATTTGAGAACTGGAGCATTGGTAACCAGCTGTTTCACTTGTTGGACTGCACTGTCATGAAGGTTGGTCCAGGACCATTCTACGTCAGGGAGTGTGAGTTTCCAGTGGGGCTCAC